TTTCTTGTTTGTGTAGCTTGAAATTAGCGGCTATAAGATGTAGATGAAGTTGAATGAACCACGTGATGGAGACGGTTGCTCCATCATTCGCCTAGGAATGGGACATAAATAAGGTGGAAAGGGACTGAAAAGACGGATTTTGATAGCGACAAGATAGATAATAGTGATGTCGGGGAACCATTCTAATACCACCACGACGGATACAGAGACAAACTCGGAAACGAGGCCGATATTGCACCTCCGGAACAACAAGAAAGACAAGAAGGAAAAACCCAAGGTCAGATGGACCAACGATGTAGTGGACAACGAGAATATGGACAAGAAGAAGTCGAAAATATGCTGTATATTCCACCCACAACGAGAGTTTGGGGAGCTGTCATCGGAGTCGAGTGACTCGTCGAGCGACGAGTCTGACCAGTCGGACGATGGGGCAGGAGAAGGAGAGTCTAATGCATCGAATGGAACACCTGGACATGATGCATGCTGCGGAAACCACAAGAGGAAGCAGGGAAAACTCAAGAAGTCGACTCCCAATGCTTATGAGAAGCAGCCGACACATAAGAACAAGTAGGGGAAAGGGGAAAAATCATTACTGGGTAGCAAATCAGACGGAGAAAGTTCAGCAGTTTAAATGTAGCGAAGGGCGCAAAGCGAAAGATTCCGCTTGCAACATTCCCTTCTGGTTCGGTAGGATTATTTCCGGAGTACTTGGAAGAGTTTTTAACCCATGTTGAAATATTTAACAGACTCATATGTAAGGCAAAATATGAGATTCGATGCAAAAGCGTTCATTATATCACCTGTTCCGTCTATATAGATTCAACTTATACAGTCTAATATTGAAAGTGTTTGCGTGTAATCTTATAGATCAATCAAACTGTCGAATATCTACACATTGATTACATGAAAACAGGTTGCATTTGAAAACGATAACCATATAAATGGTATAGTACATAATAAATAGAAGGAGCCAAGAATAATCTGATGCTAATTTAAACCCGGGTAAACGAAATATACTATGAATTCTTATTATTTAAAGATATATTTATTAGTAGAATTGAAACTTAAGCTTCATTGAATATCTTAATGTTATGCCTTAAAGTTATATAATTATAGCCCACGCTCTATTAGAGAACTATTCTGGATTTGCCACAGTTAATATCTTACGAGAATAATCATTCTCATCGCCAAAGGATTTCTTTGATTCGTTATTATTCATAAACATTGTATTAGGATCTAGTCTTGAATCAAACTCAGTGATAGGGAACATTAATTGACCTCCTAAAATTGGATCGTGACTTTGTACCAGATCATTCCTACTGTGTTTTGTAAGTTTCTTTCTTGAAGAACTTCTCGTTACACCACTATTGCTGTTATTTGCTGCGGTGAAATAAGAAAAGATCGACTTGCTCGAATTATCACGCTTCAAATTAGACGAAACGGTAGACGAATTCTTAGAATCAGGTATCACAGCAGGCGTTATTGGCTTTTCATTATTTAATGAATATTCATCTGATGAATATTGATTCTCTTCATCAGCATAATCATGCGACTTCTTGAAGCAGCAATACACTATTGCCAATAAAATACCAAAAACGACAACTCCTACTGCCGTAAATGTCCCTGCCACTTTACCAGTAGAATCGAAAAACGAATTGCTTTCCTTTGATTTATTCTCATCCGCACCAGCCTCATTTGATGATCCAGAAGATGAGGCAGAATCTGAGCCTTCAGTAGAGGATGGGGGATCTGTCACGTACTGCGTTTTAACAATCTCTGTAGGACTTCCATTCACTGTTTTTACTGAGAACACAGTCGTTGCCTTATGTTTCTCGGTACTCGACGATGACGATGACGATGATGATGATGACGATGATGATGACGATGATGATGACGATGATGATGATGATGATGATGACGATGATGACGATGATGATGATGTAGTCTGAGGAGCGGATGATGCTGGTTGTGATGACGAGAACCAACTCGACGAAGGAGACGAAAATGAGGACGACAATGAGGACGAGGAAGATTCTGTAGCTCCGTCCCAGGCTGATGAAGATGAGGGTGATGCTGTAGGTTCATCCCAGCTTGATGAAGATGAGGATGTTGTAGGCTCAGTCCAGGTTGATGAGGATGAGGATGAAGACGAAGTACTTGTAGATGTTCTTCTGGATGACGAAGATGATGAAGTTGTGGTAGATGTGCTCGAGGTTGATGTAGAAGACGTTTTAGACGTCGAGCTCGAAGTTTCTTCGGTCGAACTACTACTTTCAGATGTAGAACTTGGACTCGAGCTCCCTTGTGTGCCACTTGGATCTCCTACTACAAGGTAACCATAGTATCCCAGACCAGCACATTTTTCGGAAGGATACCCTGGACAATCCTCGTTACAATTGGACATTGATGTGGTGTCACCAGGAAGATAGTTAGAGCACCAACAGTCGTATCCTTGTAGAATAGCCACTGCATATCCGTCTGACATGCAAGTCTCTTTACATTTACCATTGGACATATATTGCGACGATGTCTTCCCACTTCCTATATTTTGACTCGAACATGAATCCAAGGTCAACCCACAAACCACCTGAACCAATCCTAGTGTCAATATTAATTTATTTGGTATCATCCTTTCAGCTATTTTTCTTATCAGCTATCCACCAGTTAAACCTTCAATTTTATCTCCAAATATCTGACTATTCAACTCACCAGTATCAATCAAAATATATCAAGCTATGACACTGAACTAAAAAACACCGTACTGACGACTGAAAATTCCAATAATCGATTTCAAATGGTTATCCAACCTATATATTGCTAATTAAGGATATTTCGAGATGCCGGAATATTCGAAAAATTATCGTTAAGCATACTCAAACGACTGTATACTGGCCGATCCTACAGGTTGTTAACTTAAAAAGTAATGTTAGAATGTGCAAAATCTATTATGGTCTATTGTTCGGGATTGTTTTGGTTCGCCCTAGTTTAAAATAGAAATTTCCAAATTAAGTAATGTTATTAGCAATACTCCTACCCGTTTCTCGTCGATTTAGTCTGAAATTACTGCATGTTTCTATACATATTGCATCTTCGAGTTTAACATGGAAGAAAACTATGCTGAAAACACACTCATGGCCTAACTTTTAAAAAATAGTTCATGCTTCGCATAAATGAGTGTGATATGAGCCTGCTAACCAAACGCTAAAAATAACACTAAATTATAGTTTTAGGCCCGGCCCGTTAGTCAGAGCTTAATGTAATGCTTGCGGTTTTGCTATCATCGTAAACGTTTGCTGAAAATATTTAGAAGCGAATCCATACATTTAAGGTAAAACTCTATATTAATGAGGCAAAACGTATATTTGAGGTTTTAGAGGGGACTAATTTGGGACACATACAAATTGAAATGGCAATAAAAGTTAGGGATTTCTGCAACCCTTAAACAATGCATATTCGTCGGCATTTAGTAAGGATGGCCATGGAAATGTGGGATCCGTGATCTTGTAAGCATCTTCATCAGTGCATAAAATCCGAGCTGCGCACCTGGAACAATAAGGCGAGGCTGATTCGGGAGTATTATTCGATACAATAGTAATCCACGAAGAATACTTTTAATAGGGTATAATAGGGCATGTGGCCAGATATTACCGCTACAATGTCAAAGTGGTTCAAAAAAGGAAGATGTAATCCAACTTACTGATAAGGAAAGTAATATACTTATCCCAGAAAAAAGAGAGCAATAATCTGTACGCACTATATGTAGTCTATTTACCTCAAGTAAGGGATAAAGAGGAGAAGGAGCTTAGATCGTTTGATTTGCATCATAATTGGTTACATTCCAGACAAATTGAAGGGGGTTCTGTACAACGCACATTGGGTATTTATTAATTATATACATGCTTAAATATGCCCGAATGATTAGGAATATGCGACCGAAGACCTGGCAGGTGAAAAATCAGCCTATTAGTGGGTGGGGTGAGTAGGGATACCAGAATTAAGCGAAGTTTCACATCACACGATGATACCCCTTTCAGTCATTTGTTGAACGGTGTAGTTGTCTATTCCCTGCTGAAGTTTATACAAGCGATCTCTGTTTCTGGCATTTGCCGTTTTTCGGTTTTGGTACTGTTCGTATTTGTTAATTTGGTCTTGAGGTATCAATACTGTACATGGCCCCAATTGTAAACGATGTATGATTTCTTGGGGATCAGTTGGGTTGTTCTTTTGCTTGATATGAGCCTTGAGTCCCATCCAGAGGGTTCTTTCCTCCATGGACAACGGAGACAGTAATGGGTGGACCGGTGATGCTTGTTGGTTATAATAGGCTAGCTTCCCTTCGAACTTAGTAAGCTTAAACCCAACTAGTCTCTTGATTATCTTGAAGTTTTCAGAAACCGTTTTATTCGTCTCGTACTTCGTGATTTCCTGTGGTAGCCCTAAGTAGTGAGTAGCGTCGTGGATCAATCCGCGTAGTATGAATGCAATTTTATCGTAAGAGTAATTTTCGTTGTTCTCACATACTCCCAGTATTATAAACTTGTAAATATCTGGGTTATTGTAAAGACTGTTATCAATGTTTGAATAGAAGGATACGAGCATAAGCCCTTTGTTGGTTATTTGCTTATTCTTAATGATACCTTCGAACAAGTACTTAACTGAGAAACTGTCAATATCACAAGTATTTATGAAAGTCCATAATTCATGTAGATGGTCTTGTGTCGCATTAATTGCTTTATGATAAAGAACTTTATTAAGAAACTTCGAATCTTGGCGCCATTTCACCTGCAAATCATTCTCTATGAATGCTATAAGTTCGTTTGTATTTTTTGTGGTTTCCATATAATCATCGAGGATCCGAATGCTCAAATTCTTCAGAATGGGTAAATTAATGCTGATCATTTTATTTATGAATAATTCTTTAAGAAAAATATTGTTAATCAGGTCATAAATTCTGTTCCACGTCGTTAAATTAATTTCTATATTTAATGACTTGCTGAGCTTCAAATACTTTATTATAATTTGGTAGGTGTTGGAAATAGACCGAATTTTGGAGTGCGTTTGGCATAGTTTCAACAAATTGTTGATTGTATCTATGTTGGGTTTATGGCCATCTTTATTCATTACTAGTAACAATTCTCTTGCAAACGAACTTTGATTCTTATCGTATCCGAAGAACTTGATCAAGTAATTGTATGTATATACCGAGCGAAATGGCTGGTACTTTGTGTTGGTTAGCTTATGCGTGTGTAATAAGATATCCGATACAAGGCCATTCTGTAGTGACAGCGAATTCTTGTATAGTATCTTCAGATGGGTAAGAAAGTATATGTATTTTTGAAAGCTCTCCGGGTCTAACGGTGGTATTGGCGGTATTTCATGAAAATGGTATCTTGGAGTTATGTCGGAAAATTTATTCATTCGGTCTTGGTGGTCCTGCTGCTGTAGTATTCTCGAGAGACTTTGATCGTTGTGTATGTCATTGGATTTCAAGTATTCAGGCGTTATATCTATTAACAAATCCATCATCTGGTTGAATATTATTCTATCTTCCAAGAAATTATTGAAAACATTCACTGTATCCTGGTTCGTTTTTCGTACCCATACAATTTTAGCCAACTCCGAATTATACTTGGGGAGGTCATCATTGAATACTTTTAAATTAGAAATCTGCAACGGCTCTAAGAAGTCCTGGTACACTTTCCGTTGGTATCCCTTTACTAGCGGTTTGAATTTATGGAGATCTGCATTGGTCAAATTTCTATTTGGCTTGTGTATTACTTTCGGCGATGATTCTTCTTTTGAAGTGGCTAAAACCACATTTCCTTTTTGTGAACTGGTGAAAGATTCCAATTGACGAGCAGATCGTCCAACCCTTGTTATTGCATCCTTTATAAAGTTCATGGATTCATACTACTTTAATACTGAATAGTCTAACGTCTCTGATATCGGTTGAAAAAATTAACTAGCGGGACGCACGTGACCGTTTTTTTTTTCAGACCATTTTTCAAAGAGATGAAGACTAACAACTACTCTACTATTCTATCTTACAATAAATCGAAACAATACGTCAACATGTCATCACCACAGAGAGAAGGATTCACTGCACCAGCATCTATATCACACGCAGCTCACGGTCAAGTTACCAATAAATCGTTGGGTGTTAAATACAACTGTGCCCAATGTGCCACTTCATTTTCATTAGGAAAGAGTGATGCTATCAGATGTAAGGAATGTGGACACAGAGTTATCTACAAGGCTAGAACTAGAAGAATGGTTCAGTTTGAAGCACGTTAAGGTTTTGAAGAACTGATAGGATTAGCAGATCGCTTGGAGAAGCGAAATATTGTGTTTTGTATTATAGGTTAGCATAAAAATTCTTAGTAATGAATTAAGTATAGTTTGATAAGTAGGTGAATATTATTAGTTATAAAGTATTACACGAATTATTAGGATATTACGGAAAGTACAGTAGAAAATGAATACATACAATTATATTATATTTAAAATAGGAACAACCCTATATCAATAACAGTATAATGATAGCTATAAAATTGTAATAATACATAAACAAACAAATTAGATGGCAAGGATATTAATAGCACAAAATAAGAGAAAAATAAAACAAACAAGAATGGCTCATTGAGCTTTCTGCCGACTAGAAATCATAAAATCAAAATATGGAACATAAATTTAGAAAAATGTTTATTTGAACACACTCTTCAACTTTGAGAAGAAGCCCTTCTTTTTCTTTTCGTCCTTCTTTGCATCCTTCTTTGATTCCTTCTTTGCATCTTTCTTTGCTGGTGTAGCCTTCTTTGATGAAGTGCCAGCGGCAGCAGGTGCAGCATTAGAAGAAGTAGCCTTAGAATTGTTGGTTGGGATCACTTCTGAAGTGGATTTTCCATTAGAGTTATCAAATACATGAGCCTCTTCAGTTAATCTTTGCTTTTCAGACTCTGTAGGTTGAATTTCTTCAACAATAACATCACCGTGTTCCCTGGCACGAAGTTCAGCTTCGACGTTAGTCTTGTTGCCGGCACCTTGAGCAATAACAATTTCGTCAGCGGAAGCAAATTGAGTCAAAGGTGGGGCACCTTCTCTACCGGTAACAGGAGAAGCATCAACTTCCTTTTCAGCATTGGAATCATTGCTTATTCCGCCTACAATTGGTTGAGTTTCCTTGCTCAATGGTTGAGCTTCCTTGTTCAATGGTTGGGTTTCCTTGTTCAAAGGTTCAGTTTCCTTGTTCAATGGTTGAGCTTCCTTGGCCTTTGGATCCAAAGTTGATGTTACTCTTTCTTCATAGATCTCTGGAACATCCTTAGATACAGCCTGAGAACCAATATCTTTCTCAGGACCAGAGGATGCAGCAGCGTATCCAGTTCCAGCGATCGCAGCACCTCCAAGAGCTGGAGCGCCGTATTTTTCAGCTTTGGAAGTTTCTTCAGCAGAAGGGTTAACTTCAGTAGGCTCATTGGCAATCTTAGGATCATATTGAGGAGCAGTGTATTGATCACGCGAGGAAGAAGCTACAGGGGCAGAAGCAGCATCACCAGCAATAGCACCACCTTGCTTTTTCTCATCTAAGTATTTAGAATCAGAGCCACCATAGTTAGGTAACTCGGAATCTCTGTTGTCAGAAAATTGAGCAGGAGGTAAGGATGACTTCTTTTCATCAACAAAATGAGAGGCATCACCAGCATATTCAGGCAAATCAGATTTCGCATCACCACCGAAATGAGAGGCAGCAGCACCACCAGCAAGAGCAGCACCACCGAGGGCAGCCCCACCGAGAGCACCGTGCTTATTGTCTTTCGAGGATTCTGGTTCAACTTCTGAATCAGCACTTGGCAATTTATCGCCGGCTTGGGATTTAGAAAGGTCAGTTCCCTGAGAAGTGACAGGCGCACCCCCAATAACAGGTAAGAATTCATTATTTGATTCTGATTGCTGCGAGTCTAAACCAGATGGAGCATAAGCATTAGATTTCTCAGCAGGTACATCACCGAGTGCAACAGCACCGGTGTCTTTGTCACCTGAAGGAGAATCATAATTAGAGCTACTTGCTGAAACCTTCGAAGCTTCCCTACCAACAGAAGAGTAACCAGTAGCAGCTGCGGCTCCGACACCTGCACCTACACCAGAAAGACCAGCGGCAGCGATGATTTCTTCTTCATGCTTGTCCTTTTTAGTTTCATTTTGAACTTCTCTTGCTTGAGGATCAAGAGTTTGTGGTTCTGGAGTTGCTTCTGGTTCAGTTTCACCTTCGGTGGTTGTAATATCATTTCCTTCCGTACCTTCAGAAACTTCAGGAACACCTTTAGATGCATCATAAAACCCACCAGCAGTAGCACCACCAGCACCGAAGGCACCAGCAGCTTCAGCAGCCTTCTTCTTCTTCTTAGCCTTGTATTGACTTCTCTTGACCTTTTTCTTCTGTTTCTTCTTTTCTTCTGGAGTTAATTCTGAAGTGTTTACATCTTTATCACCAGTATTTTCAAACTTAGTGAAAGCCGCTAATGAATCCTTATCTTGAGGGACTTGGATACCTGGTTCTCCTGCAATTGAAGCATGTTGGCCCTCGGATGATGGTAAAACCGTAGTCTTCAAGTCTTTTTCATTAGAATTTTCAAACTTAGTGAAAGCCGCTAATGAATCCTTATCTTGAGGAATTTGAATACCTGGCTCACCTGCAACAGTTGCATGTTTACCTTCTGCCGATGGCAAAACAGTAGTGTTTAAATCTCCCTTCTTGGAGTTGTTACCAGCAACGAACAACCCACCACTTTCTGGAATTCTCGAGCCTGCATTCTTCGAAACATATAAGTCACTAGCATCTAAACGGTTGTTTTCAATACCGCTTTCATCTGTAACAACCTTTTCGGTAGGAGAAACCTTCCATTGGCCATCAACAATGTACTTATAAAGGATCTCATTGTTGTGGGTTGGCAATGGCACCGTCAATTCAAACGACCCATCTGCTTGCTTGACCAAGTATAAAGTCTTGGACCAATTGTCAAAAGTACCAGTAAGAACGACTTCTTGCGGTCCCTTTGGCCTATTTTATGTTAGTATCGTTTTTAAGGATTTCGGACTATCAGCCGAGGTTATCTCCGCATATCTTCAATTCTTTTTCAATTGGCCTAACATACCATTTAAAAGTGTATACAGTAGACATTTATAGTGTTCTTTATTGTATATATATTGTTTTCTTTGAACTTATCAAGGATTACTACGATTTATAATCTATACTACACTGTTCTTGCTATTTCTGGCTTCGTTTTTCGGTTGATGGTCACGTTCCCTATATACAGGATTGTTTTTTGTATGCTGGTTAAAGCCCTTCATTATGTTCTGGAACGGTAGCATTACCAGCAAGATCATCCGAAGGAATAAGTTTGGAACCACCAAAGTAACTCAATAGGATGGGGAGCAAACAGAGAGCATGAATTGCCGCAATAAACACCAATGCAAGCCACATTCTGAAGTAGTAGACCTCGAAAATCTTTGATCTGGTGAATGCAAGAACCGAAATTCCGATAAATTTCGTTAGGGTTATACCTCCTAAGACCGAGCCTCCAACTGTAGTAAGGGCCTTGTGAGCCTTGTTTTCTCTGGGGTTTATTGAGTAAACGTCTGCAGGTGTGATGGTGAAAGCGCGAGTAATATGAATGGTAAACTCCACCGCCAAACCAGCACAGATAATCAAGTTGACTAGAGACACAGCGTTCAAGGAAATGCCCCAAAGAGACATCACGCCTCCAATATTGACGAGAACTATGCAGACAGTGACAACAAGAACAGTAGCAGAAGATATTGAGCCTAAGAGGAAAGCACTTATGGACCAGATGATAATTGCAGCAATTAGCAATAACGTAAGGGTCAATTTGACTATCGATTCATACTGGACGAAAAATATGTAGAACGGTGAGAATGCAAACATGTCAATGTCGTTATCGTACGATTCGATCTCTTTGACTATACGGAGCGAGTTCTTGTGAGCATTGATGAAGTCGGCCTGCGAACGTAATGGTGAATGGCTGCTTCTAAAGTAACTCGAATTTATCTTGGTTCGGTTTTTGTTTACCGATATACTGGTCGAATACGGAGCTTTGCCTCCTAATGGACATGGGTCACTTGGTTCCTCGATCCATTGATTGAAATAAAACATAAATTCCTTACCGGTAGGGAAGCCTTCCATTGTGTTGCTGTACTGTGGGTCATGATCTGTATAGCATGCTTCACATAATCTTTCTGGCGTACTAGGCGTACAGAATTGCTTGTCGTCGAATGGCGAATTCTTTTTAAACCTACAACATTGGTCCAAATCCGGATTTAACCATGTTAAGAAATCGTCTAACCAGCTCGACGCGGGCTCCGCAATGGTAGATTTAGAGCTTCTTTTGAGTTCTTGCTCTAAAATGTTTGAGACTGAAAACTCATTGCAAGTAGAAAACTTTCCACACAATTTTTGTTGGCTTTCTCTCTGGGTAATATCTAAGTTCTTTATCACGAAGAAAATTGGAGGACCAACATTCAAATATTTGTACACTGAGTTGAAATAGTCTATCAAGTATGAATCTGATGGTATTGCAATCCTCTGGTCCAACCCAAATTGTATATTTGGCAAAAGGCTTAGTGAAATACCAAGCCATAGTAAAAATAAAGTAAGAATTTTAGGCTTATTTGTCCTGGAAAGTATGAATGGGGCGTAGTATGTACTAATCAATCTGGAGAAGTTGTATTCAACCTCTTCTGGCTGCTCGTACTCACTATCATCTTCACTTAAAGTAATTGGATCATCCACTTGTATACATGGCACGCAGTCAATCCTATCATCTTCTAATCTTCTTTGGTCCAATGATAATAAAGCAATAAAACCTGTCATCTGTAAAATGAAATTCATCATGATTGTTCCTGCTGAGTAGAAGGCAAAATTTTTGACAGCAGGCATTTCAACTCTGGTTGCCAACAAAAACATTGCAAATTGCAATATAGCACTGATCAAACATGAAGGACCGACGCTTTTTAAAGTCTGGGAGATCCTGTATTCGATTGAATCGCTAGCAAGTAATTCATTATTAAGATGTAATTCATGAACGATCAAGAATATGTTATCAATACCTACAGCCAAAATTAGGAATGGAATAACCTCAGCTATAATCAAAGTTGATTTCAAACCTATCATTGAAAAAATCCCAGCCGATGAAGTGACTGATAGCAAGATAATAAATATTCCTCCTAAACCTAGCTGAAATCTGGTATGAACTAAGTCTTTCAACTGCATACTTGTAGGAACTTTACCACCTAATGCTAAAGAAGCATACAAAAACATTAAAAGGTAAGAGACAATAATAATACTGATATCCATGTTAGTCGACTTGTTCAACTCTTCTGTTAATGACACTTCAGTACTAAAATCTATTTTTAAATTCATATTTTCATTTCTTATATCAAATATCCATTCCTTTATTGCATGTTCAAATTCGATGGCACTATTGGTGTATTCAGTGTTTGACAGATTATTGTTAATTAACAATGTGATCACGAAAGCTTTAGAATCAAAAATATCTTCCTTGTCAAATAATAAATTTTTCTTTAAAGGTTGCTGGAACGTAGGCAAGCAATTCACCGGCGAGTCTGTACAGCTCTTGATTCGCTGTTTCCAGTTATCTTCTTTAAGATTATTTATATCTCCTTGAAAGTATTGCGCAAAAGACTCAATTGCACAATCATCGCCCATAGGTTTAAAGCAAAGATCAGATAAACCAATTTTTTTCTTATCACCAATTGTCAAGCTTCTTAATTCTTGCTCTTTTTCAAACCACCATTGGATATTTTCCCAATTAAGAATAGGTTGGCTCTCATTCTTAGAACTAATGATTATCTGTTCAATTCTAAACCACTCGCCAAATTCTTCTTCAAAGAATTGAAGATTTTTGAGTGCCGGTTCCTCGGGACTTACCCATAATTTTACAGGATTTATCTCAAGATTGAGCCAGAATAATCCACTAGACATGATAAGCGTCACCACGATACAAGTCCCAATAGTAATTCCTGGTAACAGGGCGCAATAAAACCCGATATACTCAAAAGCAGTTTGGATATAACATATTAATTTCATATGATATTCTTCTAGAGCGCTGAATTTAGAAAAATTGCTATTTCTTGTAAACTGATAGGTATTTCCTATATCATCGTCATCATCATTTGCTAGACTAGTACTCCAGCGTCTGATATCATCATTCTTTGATCTTGCAATTGAAACGTGGTAACCTCCTAAGATTAAAATTAAACAACCCCAAAGAATAATTATTGCAAATGAGAAACAAGGTAAGACACCTATCGTACACTTATTATCATAGCTTTTAAAGCCAGGTAATTTCGGACACGAACTCGAACAGTCTGAACAGGCACACTTATAATCCTTATCATCACAGCTCTTCATATCACCCGATCTTAACACTATACCCTCATTTTCTTGCTTTTCACTAGTAGCATATTCATAATTAATTTGAAAAGGAGAGCCTCCTAAAAGTGGTTTCTCATCACCTAAGAACTTTAAAAATTCCTTGTAATTAGTGGCACCTCCGCCAATCAAATCCATGGCATATCCATTAGTTGCTGAAAACTTCACTTCCTTGCAAGAGTTGAAAAAGTCTGAGGCATAATCAGAGTCTACGAACTGACTCAATTCTGTCACTATTTCCTTCTTTAGGTCAATAGACTCGGCAGTCTTAGTGATGTCGATGAAAGTGGATTGATTTGAAGAGCATGTGAACTTGCAAAAGAAGTCATAGAAGTTCTTCCTACAAGCAGGGCATGAACTTATCAATGGGTCAACTTTCTTCAAATTGGATTCTAAATTGATTAGTTGCTTCTCGGAACAGCAAACTCTCTCCATAGGAAAATCAGCACCGCATATTCGACTTAATATCTCAATTGATGCCTCAGGTGGCTTTACTGCCTCTGTATTGTTCACACATGGTAATTCACTACCGAAGAGTGACTTCTTACCGCAATTATCGTACATGGCACAGTATCCATCCTCATGAACCATACTTGAAGCCGATACCAAAAACCAAAGAAGACTAGTCAATACTAGTATAATTCTATTCATATTAGTCAATAATTGTATAGAATGTATAGCCGTGAAATTGTTCAAAGTAGATAAAGGACAGAGCAGGAGATATCCATTTTTGGTTTGCGACTGATTAAGCTGCTAATATAAACGCGAGAAAAAGTGTATGAAAACTTCTATCTAGCATCAGAAATAGTGCTACACAACAATGTTAATAGGTATATCTGGGACTCTTAGTTCGGGAAAAACAGAGGTCGCTCGGTATTTGACGTTTCAAGGATTTAAATTGCTAGTGTTCAAAGATAATGACGATAAAGAGGTCGAATCATCTTGGTCAAGTGAATCATCAGCGGCAATTGATATCAAAGATTTGTCGCTTTCTAACGATGATATTACAACCAAGGTTATAAATAATGGCACGATGGAGCCGTATAATCTATTCAATGAATTAGACGAGTTACTTGATTATGTGACTACAAACTGGCGGATGAACTTTGTAATTTCTCACATCAGTGATATTGAAATGTTGAATTCGCTCCAGAAAAGACCTTTTTTTTTACACATTTCGATAGACGCTCCAATACAGTTGAGGTTTAAGAGATTCTCTATTAAGCAGCAAAAGGGTTTATCTCTTGAGGAGTTTATTTCTCAATCGGATAAACTTTTATTCTCCTCCACAAATCCATTAATTGAAATCAATAACCAGGCTCAAATTAAGATCATAAACACGTCTGCATCGATCAAGAGCTTGTATGTAAAATTGTCTGAATTGAATTTATTGAACCAAGAGAGATTGAGACCTACATGGGACTCGTATTTTATGAGATTGGCCGACTTGGCAGCATTGAGATCTAATTGTATGAAACGTAGGGTTGGATGTGTTGTAGTCAGAGGTAATAGGGTAATGGCTACAGGCTATAATGGAACGCCTCGGAATTTAACCAACTGTAATGAAGGTGGATGTTCCAGATGTAACCAAGGACAAGGGAGTGGTGCAGCATTATCAACATGTTTATGCTTACACGCAGAAGAAAATGCTTTACTCGAAGCAGGTAGAGATAGAATAACTGGAGGACAAACAGGTGAGAATAGTGTTCTATACTGCAATACATGCCCTTGCTTGACATGTTCAATTAAGATTGTTCAAAGTGGCATCAAGGAAGTTGTATACGCTCAAAGCTATTCAATGGACATATTATCACATAAGGTGATGTCAGAAGCTAACATTATATTACGACAGTATAGTCCTCCAACAGATGGCATTTTTATTTAGAATTTTGCAGATAGATAAATCTTTATATAAGACTATATTATTATATGGATGATTAAAATTAGCTACCGATATATCTAGGTTTCTTTAAATTCATATGGCCCTGGTTTTTGTTCGGCATCGATTTCAATGGTTGCATCGTTTAAAACGTTACCACCCGCCGTAATTGTAGCCTTGATTTTATCCCCAGGAACAACTGGACCAACCCCTTTTGGAGTACCAGTTAAGATAAGATCACCCTTTTCTAACGTCATGATTGCTGACATATGAGACAATATTTTATGAATTGGGAAAATCATGAGATCGGTTTTGTCTTTTTGTTTGATTTGTCCATTGATGCTTAAGCTCAATTCAACATCGTATGGATCAGGGATTTGTGATTTAGGGATAAATTGTGACAATGGCAAAAAAGTGTCAAAACCCTTTCCAATTGTCCATGGTAAACCCTTACCCTTAGCTTCATCTTGAACATTTCTAGCTGTCATATCAATGGTTAATGCGTAACCGTCGATACAGTCCAATGCTTCTTCACGAGAAAAGCTTTCAGGCAAATTAGACAATGTTTTATTCAAAATTATACCCAATTCAACTTCATGGTGCACAATTGTGCCTTTTGGAACTAAGAAAGGTCCACTATTTGGTTTCAAGATTGATGAAGATGGCTTCAAGAAGAAAAATGGTTGTTGAGGTTTAGCACTATTCAATTCTTTAATATGGGCCGCATAATTCCGTCCAATACATAATATTTTCCTTGCGTTATCAATATACTTTAATCCTGACATTTTTTGATGATTTAATATCAATATAGGATCTACTTCCAACGGAATCAAGTGTGATGAAACATACAAAGAACTAATCGGTCCTTCCCGGAGTTGTGGAGTCAAATATTCCACCCATACACCAAACCCATACACCAAACTTATTGGGATAATCTATTAATTGGCCTAATGCTCCCTATACTCGTACCCGGTATACCCAAATACGAATCCCCGGGGTACGCTGTTTGATACAACATAAAATTAACCCAAAAAATGATGAGCATGATATGTACATATCTACATCAATCAACAAAAGACTACATGAGGCCGATATCGCATGTTAACCAACCAGGACAACCGTTGCCTTGATGCCTATTGACTGGACAAAAAAAATCGTGGTAAGACGCTCAGAACACTACCGACAAATAAGCGACAAAAAGCCAAGAACTCTGTCAATAGTTAGATTAATACAATAACGACCTGCCAAATCCGAGGCTCGTCAGGAGTGCCTATAGTTCCTGAACGAAAATGCCAGTGCTACCATAGGAACAGACGTTCCCGTTCGCATGAAAAAAGCCATATTCTAAAGGTTTGCACCACGGGTAGACATATTTTCTATTTAGGGAAATATCAAAGAGGTACAAAAAATCAATTGCGCGAGAATAACATATTCTAGCCATAAATATCTGTCGTAATTAATTGCTACCCAATTTCAAAAAACTATATGCTTGAGATAATTGGCGATATGCTGCTCACTTGTTTTCAGTATTATTCTATCTCTTCTTCGCTTGAATCATAATAGGTTCGTACGTAGCGATACCTCAACTATATTATCGACGTTCTCTCTACTAGTTATGTTATGCCAAACAATAACTAAATATATATTGCCCGACAGATAATACCGTTAGGGACAATAGATAATTTTATTAAATACCCGGCTTAGGCCTAGACAAGCAGTATCACCTGAAAATATTGGATTTTTATTGGACCTTTTGTATTATTTAGACATGCATTAAAAGAAAATTTTAGCGTATAACAATGCTTCATCCTTCATATTACTATGTCAGTGAGAGCATGCGCTGTGTCTCTATGCATGTCATGCACGCATGAGCTGTATTCGCTTCTTAATTGGACGAAAAAAAAATTTTCATGAAATTATCAGATTGATCAATACTACCGTATATGGATGGATGCAGACGATTATGCGAGAAATATTCAACAAACCATCTGATAATTGAAGATTATTTTACGGAATATAAATTAGCAGAGAAGTACGCCTTTAATTGAAAAATAGTACTTTTTAACTAATAGCACATCAAAGAGACAGAGAAAGTGAAAAATGGTTAACGTATTTAACGTTCAAATTTTTTTCATTGTCTTCCGTGAAACCTTAGAAGCCGTTGTCGTTGTTTCGGTTTTATTAGCTTTCTTAAAGCAAGGTTTAGGGGGAGCAAGTAATGACCCAGTTGTATACAAAAAATTAGTAAGACAGGTTTGGATAGGGGCGCTACTAGGGTTGTTAATTTGTCTTATTTTGGGTGGTGCTTTCATTGGTACATTCTATTCTTTGGGTAAAGATATTTGGGGTAATTCTGAAGATTTATGGGAAGGTATTTTCTGTATAATTGCGACAGTATTAATTTCGATGATGGGTATTGCTATGTTGCGTATTAATAAGATGAAGGAAAAGTGGAGAATTAAGTTAGCACAAGCTTTGATCAAAGAACCACCAAAAGGTAAAGACAGGTTCAGAATTGGGTACGTGACTAAGAAATACTGTATGTTTATCTTACCATTCATCACTACTCTTAGAGAAGGATTGGAAGCTGTTGTTTTTGTTGGTGGTGTTGGTTTAGATAGTCCTGCATCATCATTTCCACTTCCAGTTATTTGTGGTTTAATTGCAGGTATCGTTGTCGGTGGATTATTGTACTATTCCGGTTCCACTGTTTCTTTACAAATTTTCTTGATCATTTCCACTGCCATTTTGTACTTAATTGCTGCAGGATTATTTTCCAGGGGTGTTTGGTACTTTGAAACCAATGTTTACAATAAAAAGACTGGTGGTGATGCTTCAGAAAATGGTTCTGGCCCAGGTACTTACGATATTTCCAAATCGGTCTGGCACGTAAATTGTTGCAACCCAGAAACTGATAATGGTTGGGATGTCTTCAATGCTCTTTTGGGATGGCAAAATTCTGCTACATACGGTTCAGTTATTTCTTATAACGTGTACTGGATAGCTGTTATCGTTACTTTATGTTTAATGATGTATGAAGAAAAGAAGGGACACTTACCATTCTGTAAGAACCTTACATTAGTCAAATTGAACCCAATGTACCATATTAAGGGTAAGAAGAAGCATGAACTTAGCAAAGAACAACAAGATGAATTGTTTGAAAGAGTCAGAAATCAAAAGATCATGACGAATGGCGAATCAAACGATGATAGTTCTATACTTTCTAATAAGGAGGCTATTAATTCAGTTGAGAAATAATTGATGTATTCGCACACACACACACACACTAATATAATATCATCAATTGTTGTTTCATTTGTTTTAATTTTTCTTTTTTTTTAAGTGTTTAATTTTTTAGCAAATAGGGTCGAGTCATTCAGGTTTAATTATAAATTTATAGGAGTATATGATAATATAAATCACGGGTTATTATTATTGTTGTTGTAGCGTCAATTAGGATACAAATGCTAGCTTTTTTTTTAACTTGAGAGTTGTATATAGCTTTAGCTTCATATCTAACAATATGAGGTCGAAAAAAAAAGAACCCACGGCGGGAGTCGAACCCGCAATCTTTTGATTAGAAGTCAAACGCGTTAACCATTACGCTACGCAGGCAAGTATATGTTTTATCATATTGTCCTGAGTATATATATATATATAAATGTATATTTTGAACCCATGCTTCTCCCTTTAGCTTTGGTTCTAGTCCTATTTTTCATCGACACATTATCCTACAGTTCTAAAGCTATTTCTTTAAATTACTTAGCTTCTAGCTTAACAATAATATTCACATAATCTAAGGGTCATTTTGCGAATATTCACAACTACTTCTCAATGAAAGAAAATATAGATTACAATACAAAAGTTAGAATACATAAATATATAGATTAACCAGACCAGAATTGATAATTCTTCGGTTTGGCAATACTTACCGGGATGCTATCATTATCAATACTGTTTAACAAATTATTAGAGCTATCAACATCCATTTTGTTTGAATCATTATTCAACTTGAAATTATTATTAAACGATTTATTGATTTCATTCACATTTATTGGCGTCAACAAATCATCAAGTAAGCTATTCAATTCTGGACTCAAGTTCTCTTGAGATTTCTTGAATTTATTAATTTTTTCAAAGTTCGACCATCTTTCGATCAATAATTGCTTTCTTTCTAAGTTTAATGAATTTTCGATTTCAATTAAATTTGACTCTAAGTTATTCAAATTATTCACCTTGGTTTGGAACTTTTCTAAAGTCAATTCTGTAATTTGGTTTATTAAATTCGACTGTTCAGTTATCGATTCATTTAAACTTTTCAATGAATTTTCTCTCACTAAAGCTTGTCCTGATTTGTTTGAGATTATTTGACTCACAATGTCTTGGACAAGCTTTTCTTGATTGAAAGAGTCATCCTTTCTATTGGAGTGTATTAATTTGTTTAAGTATCTATCTTCAATTGGCAATTGTATAAATTTGATCAAACACTGTTCCTTTGTTTTCGTGCCAATAAATTCCGCAATTTTATCCCACTGACCATTTGCATTAGAATTCAATGAAACGTTTGCATTATTTGAACTGGCATCAAAAGTTCCGAACATTTCAATACCTTCCAACAACAATAAAATTTCTTGTTCTGACCATTCTATATTGTCCTTATTTTTTTGTAACTTGATGAAATCGGATGATTGGAAATTCAGAGGGAATAATCCTTGATCAAAGCATGTACTACACAACACAGAAGCATTGTTTATATTTGAATTAGGGTTGGCCGAATAGGACTTGCTTTTTAAATTGTGGTATCTTACTTCACTTGTATCCTTACCACAAGTGTTGCAGAAGTATTGGATCATGTTTTGAGTATTAATATTTTTCGACACGTCATTGGAGTTAGTATATATATTACGTCTAACTTCCATGTTTATTGGGATTTCTTGTTTAACCTTAATATTTTGATCCTTCTCGTAGTCTGCTTGATCATTTTCATTGGCGCTTTCGTTTTCAACTGAATTTGGTGGTGAAGGTAAGTCTTTCGCAGAATCAATGACTTCGATATTATCAGGAATAAATGGAACCAACCCTTTTGGCGTGTCCAATGTAACCTGGAAGTGACCAGTATATTGAGGTCCAACTACTGTGGATTTAGTTCTTGGATCAATCTGATAATTAATCAAACCCCATTTTTCTAAGAAATGATGGATTCTGATTATACTTGAGACATCCCCTGCCAAATTACGACGAATGGCGGTAACAGTCAAATACTCCAAAGGATTAATTCTATACGAGTTAATCATGAAGTCTCTCATGTTCTTATAGATTTCCTTGGTCTTGTAAATAGACCTATATTCGTCGCCTTCTTTAACTGGAAAAAAATCGGGAAACAGTTTCTTTTCTATGCTATGAACATCATTCATATTGAACCACTTGGCGAAAGATGGAATCACAATGTGACTCGACTGGTCAATTAAATAATTTTTTGCCTTCTCTTGAAATGTGCTCTTAGCCTTTTCTACATCAATCGGCTTACCATTTTGTTCTTGTTTATCTTCTTCCTTCACTGGATTCTCATCCAAGCTTATTTCTTCATTAGGAATAGGGGTGGCAGAAGTAGGTGTTTCTGGATCAACGGAAGCAGATGCTGACATGTTCTTACGCTCTTTCTTAATTGATTGGTTGCCTTTTCTTCAACTTTTCTGCTATATGATAAATACTTGACTACTGGCCGTTTTGATTCGAGAAAGAAAATGCTGAGATTGGGCTAGACACTTCGCGACATATGTCGCATAAATTTGCGACATCTGTAGAACGCGTCTTTTTTGTTGTAAAGCGTTTAAGCGTTTATTTACAACCAAACCAACTTAGTCAATCGTGATATACAAGTGAATAATAGTTGGAAAATGACCAGCGTTAGAGCTACACGAAAGTCAGCTCGTATCGTAAATAGAGATACGAGTATATATAAAGATAGTAGCGATTCAGAGGAATCAGATATAGCCGCTAATAAAAGTGATGATGAGTATATGGCGCCATCAGATGCGAGTAAAAAACGTAGCAGGGGACCCAGAAAACCAAATAAGAAAAGCAAAACAGTCAACAGGGCTGCTCCTAAATCTGTGGAGGAATTGGGGACAGATTTCGAAGAGAACCTCTTATATAAAGCATTATCGAAACCTGATTTGTCTACACAAGAGCTTGCCTTGGAATGGATAGAGGAATACATTGAAAATGAGGAGAATAATAAGGATAGCGAGCTGATTGCATCGTTGGTGAATTTGCTATTACGAAGCTGTGGATGCATCTATCTTTTGCAACCTCATGACTTAGTTAATTTGGAATCGGCAGCGGAAACGATTGGTGAATTAACGATAGCTTTTGAAAAGCAGCAGTACCATGAGTATCCATTTATTTCTAATAACAAAGACTTGAAGTTTTTCAGGAAAAATGTTTGTGAGTTTTTTGAGGATCTAATCTACCTTGCTCATGAGAAGGGAATATTATATCAAGGAAATGAAGACGAAGAAGATAGTGACGAGGAAAGAGAAACGGTATTAACTTCACCCTTAATGAACAAAATTTTGACTTGGCTTACGTCGCTCAGTTCATGTACGGTCAGACCTTTGAGGCATATTTCAACGACAATTCTCTTGACAATTCAAACCAAATTATGTGATATTGTTGTGAGTATAACAGCTACATTGGAAAAATATCAACGTCAATTATCTAATGCAACTAATAAAAATAAAGGAAATAAAAAGTCTAGAAATGGCAAAGCAGATGCCATATCAAAAAATATTAATATTTATCACAATCACAAGGAAACTATCTACGAATATTTCGGAGAGATAACAGAAACCACATTTATTCACAGATACAGAGATGTCGACGCTTCAATTAGGCAGGAGTGTTTAAGGCAGTTAGGCCAATGGATGATAATATACCCTGACTTTTTCTTTCAGTCGTCATATTTGCGTTATTTTGGCTGGCTATTATCAGATCCTTCTAATCATGTTAGAGCTGAGGTTACTAAGGTTTTACTTAAATTATACAAGAATGCATCAAATGGAAATCAGAATATGAGTATTGGTTTCAGGCAATTCACTGAGCGATTCAAGAAACAATTGATTAACATGAGCAGAAAAGATAGCGATTTTAACGTCAAGTATAATTTAATTGTTATATGCTGTGAATTATTGAAAATAGGATTTCTCGAAGAAAACGATAATTTACAAATCACCCAACTATTTTTTTACATACTTGATTATGGATCTGGATTTGGCCATGCATCTGATGAAAAATTAAAAGTTGAATTAAGTAGATTCATAAACCTTGTCAACTTAGAAAGCTCCAAAGTCGAATTAGAAAAGTACTCTATTTTCACCGAGAATTATGAATCTCCTCAATTTGGGAATGGTCATGGTAAATTAAATATTAATGATTGTTTGAAAACGAAAAACCTAATTAAGTTTTTAAAAAAGGCATATGATAATTATTTGAAGAACAAACCTATGACCGAATCAGAATTTCCAAAAAATCGAAATTTTACACCAATAGCGACAATTTTTAAGTCGCTTTATAGATTACCATCTTATACAAAGTCTTGGGAATTTTTGGTTAGATATTTATTGTTTGACTTATCATCCGTTAACTTTCATCCAAAACTGGGGGATATAGAAGAAGGTAATGTAGAAGTTACAGAGTTTAAGAAACTATTAGAACTTTCTGGTGAAAGCGACTACTACTATCTATTGAATTTCATCAATGGTTCTATTACTTCAATTTTTTCTTCAAATTTTAAAAGAAGTAAAGAAGAAAGTGAAAGTGAAGAAAATCAAACATCTGTATCAATTAAATTAATTGACTACTTACCAGCTATACAAAAATCACTGAGTAAATCAAAAGATCAGTTTTTGATTTTTTTAGACCTATGGAACGTATTATTATCTTCATCGTCCCATAGCGATAATATTTATATGATGTTCCAAAATATGGGACAATTGAATGTTTATAACGATATCACTTCAAAAATCATTGGCTTTTATCAATCTTATGAATCTATTGATTTTGAAAACGATGTTATTTTTAAAGTATTTGATGAGTATTTCAATAAGTTGCTATTAAATTATGATAATCATATGTCCCCAGTTCAATCTATTGATAGTAATACTCAAACAAATATCATGAATACCGATATTAGGTTAAAAATTCAAAATTTGTTGCAAGAATTAATTGCAGAATTGAAAGAACTTTTCAGCTCAAATAGACCAGCTGCAGAATTTGATGGTCATGAAGTTTACGATGATGAGTTAGAAACTCAAAAAGCGGTTATTAATACTTTGATTGATGCATCTAACCCATTAGCAAAACTCGGAAAGTTAGGAAATTATGTGAACATCAACGAGTATATTAGCAACTCTTCTGGTAATAATTCAATCATTGAATTAATGATTTATAAGGTTCTTGATAAGCTAGATATAGAAAAATTGACGGGTCAATGGCCGAATACTTTCCTACAAACAATTGATAGATTCATTGCTTCTTATAAAGTCTCTCTAGATTTTATTTTGGTATGGAATTCTTGGAAATTGGAGACTTTGATTTATGCCCCTGCTTCTGAAAACAATAATTCACAAAATCATTATGATATTGAATTGATATTTGATGATGTGATTTTTGTATTAAAATCTAACTTCAAGATTTTTAAGTCATTTTTCAGCTCGATTAATTGTATTCATGAAAAATCTTGTTCATCTTCATCCTTTATCTCCAATGAAAATGCCTATCTAATGATCGAAAAATTGAATGTTGTGAAAACGTTAGTAGCAGCTAAGGTAATAGATATAATTGTTTCAATGAAGGTGTTTTATATCAAGTTTAACAGTAACAACAACTTCAAGAATTTTAATAGATTTTTTGATGACATTGATGGTATGGGGAAGTACATTATTAACAGTATTCCTACTGAATTCCAAAACGAATTACTTAATATTTTCCTTTATAAGGAATCCAAATTGGCTAATCTTCTTGATATTGAATTAGATAGAACAGATAATGAAGATGTAAATTTTGAAGAGTTTTATAACATGAACAAGGAACAAGAGCATCCAAATAGAAGCGGGTTTGATTCTGACGATGATGACGACTTCAATGCAGACGCTAGTGACGAGGATGGTGAAAGAAACGAAAAGATGAAAGCTAAAGCAAAGCTTGATGAATTAAAGAAGCAGCAAAAGAAAGAAGGTGAGATATGGCTCGCAGAAAAGGATTTATGTGTTTTTACAGTTAAATTGTTTACATTGATTCATTTGTCTATGGTTAATGATTTTGTCTTGAATCGGTTGACCTTGAACGGTGAAAAAATAGGAGGCTTGTATTATAAGCTATTGAAACAGAATAAGGAACATATGAATATCTTGAAAAATGGTGGACAGAAAACTTCAAATGATTCAGTAGCTGAAAAGGATAATACTGTTATGACAGCTTCTACCAATGTTTCAGAAATTGACTTAGATCTTGATATTGATGAGGAAAGTCAAGTAGTCTCATGATAATGAATTATAGTAGATTGTTTATATATAATATACAAAATCTGGTTTATCGTTGTTCTCATTTATGTTCATTCTCTCCATTGCTCTGAGCATTATTAAATGAAGTGTTATACAAGTTTGGGTCCTCAAACGCCCTATCCATATTCCTACCATTATTTACAGGAGTCTGAAAATTAATAATCTCAGGCTTATCCTCTTCATTGTCAACAGTGCTACCAGTATTAATTAATAATGGGATTTCTTTCTTTTGATTATCAAAAGCTGGGAACGCTTCATGTTTCGTAGAAGAAACAGGGGGTGCAGTAGTTAAGGTGCTAGTCGATTTATCATCATTAAGCGTCAAAGTATAAGCTGATTCAGGAGCTTTTAAGCTAGTATTCCCAGCTTCTGGTATATATGATTTTTCAGACAAAGAGTCAACTTCATCATTTCTTATATCGATTGTTGCATCTACTTGCGACATTATCCCCGATGATGATGCCTTATGCGATGGTGTTCCGTTAACTAGCGAGCTGGAAGAAATGTATCTTGGCAAATTTGATTGAGAAGATGACCTGTTATCTGAAATTTGGTACATGCTTGACGAAGTACCTTTACCAGTCATAGCAGATAAGCTACAATTCATGTTTGAAACTCCGTTACCGTTTCCCTTAATCCTACTGTGAATTTTATTTTTCAAAGAAAAATATCCTTCGCGAGAGGGACTTAGACTGCTATTCTGCATCAGCCTTGTACTATAACTGTGGGGCAAATCCAATCTCAAATCATTTTTATTCATTTTTGAATCACCCAATTGGCTAGTTGAATTGATCTTACAGTCGCTTTTGTTTTTTGGACAGCAAACATCTTTCTTCAGTTTAAGGATATCTCTCAACTTTTTTCTAATCTCGTAAGCTGGATCTTGTCTGAAAACTCTAATTAAGCCATACTGGTCTGTTGTAACTATAATATGACCACCATTTAAACCATTTTCGCTCAAAATATCACCTGAACTATCATACTTTTGGACTTCATCATCCTCATCCTTAATTAAATTATACTTTTTACCTCTCTTAACTAATTCAAAAATTAGATCATCTGATAATTCTAATAATTTTTTGGTATTTTCAGGAGCGAAAACTGCAACATTGACCTTCGAATGATGTGGATGAAATGCCACATAACTATTATTTTCATTCGCAACATATTCAATAGAATCTTCATCGTCCAAATACTTCTGAACATTTAGCTTTTTCATCAAAGGATTTTTATGAATTAAATTTGCATACGATTTATGCTTACTTTGCAAATCATTAATGTGATTTTTTCCTTCTAAAACTAAGTCTTTTAAAGCTAATTTTAATTTATTATTGATAATTGAGTTATTATTTTCCCAGATATAGCACCAGTGATCCTCAGATCCTGAAACAATGTAATGAAAGTCGTCGGTCATATCTGCGACTATTGATGAACTATTATTAGTTAAACCTTTGAATCTGGTGACTAACTTTTTCAGATCAGAATTTACTAGTCTAATTTTTGAATCATTAGTTGTGATCAAAAAATTCCACTTTGCCAAAGGATCGTCATCCACGATTTTTAGCCTTGAGTACTCTCTACTCTCAAAAATCTTAATTCCTGTGATTTTATTACCATTTTTGTTATGAAACGAATGTACAAAAGACTTCTCTTTCACCTCGAATCTATTAATTACATGCAACCCGTTGATCTCTAAAGCGAATAATGAACCATTAAACCCACCAACAATGCAATGCTGGCCATCAGGTGTAAAAGAAGCAGCTGTGATCAAAATATCATCTCCCAAATCTTTATTATATGCTATGTTCTTCTCCAAAATTGACCAAAGTCTAACTTGGTTATCCAAAGATCCACTTAAGAAAAATCTATCATCCGTTGGATGAAACTTGACTGTAGTGACAAAATCGTCATTTTGAAATGTTTCTAGACAATCCAGTCTATCTACATGCCACAATTTGACCAGTCTATCCATACTACCCGAAATCAAGAAGTTATTCTTACTCCAATCTAAGGATAAAACGCTATGGGTATGGCCCTTGAAAACCCTCACTGGAGCTTGATGAAAAACTGGAGCTCCCCGATAAAGGTTCTTATTTGTCTTCTTAGATTTGTCATTATAGTTGGCTTCTTCATTATTTTGTTCCAATCTGCTCAAGGGCGACGATATAACTTTCCAAATTTTAATTATTGAATTTCGACCAGCGACTGCCAAATATTTTCCATCCCTACTGAATTCCATAACATAAACTTCGTTATAATCGTTTTTGTTTTGTCTCTTATGGGCTGGCCTTTTAGAATAGCCTTGAGAATTAGAATAGAATTCGTCAGCAGCTTGCGTTTCATGCTCGTAAAGAATTTCATCGTGGTCATCATCGCTTGAAGTTCCTTGTTTCAAGCTCTCGCTAGAAATGCTATCATTATCATTATGATTCTTCGAAGCACACGATTCAACATTCAATTCTTGTGCTAAAAATAAATTATTTAATGCTCTTGGACTATGCTTGTTCCTTCTGTGGGTTTTCACATATCGAGGCATAACTAGCGATTCAGGAGTTAAGCCATCCCAAAGTTGCGATTGTGAATCACTCGATGGCAATTTCAGGTTCATCATTTCTCTAATGTTTGTATTTGATACATTATTATGCCTTCCCCTTAGATCATTATTAATAGAATGGGAAGATGTAATTCGTGATAATGATGAGTTTGATGAGGTCATATCAAAGACATTTTTAGTATCAACTTCATCATCTTCGGCGTAATTAAAAACACTGTCTTCATCATCTATACAATTGTCAGACATATCCCGTCCCTTTGAGCGCCCTCTAGCTTGTGATCTGGTAGTTCTACTACTATTATTGGAAACCCAGGATTGATGTTTAAGTTTATTTGTCAATGACGGAGATGAACTGACCTTAGTACTAGACGAAGAAGCACGAGATGGTCCACCATTCTGTCCCTGTTTCGGTGAAGTCTCATTTCGTTGTTTCCGATGCAATAAATTACTGAAAAACTTCTTCTTACTGGATTTTGGCGTAATGGCCTTCTCGGAGCATTTATCTTTGCTCGATGGCGGCGTTGATAATTGTACCGACATTATACCAAAAAAAAGTACCTTTTTTAAGCTATCACTATTCTAATGGATTCAATAAGTAAGTATTTGTAATAATAACTGTTGACCTTCCTTAAAATCAATCATTTACCAGCTACCCATTTTATTGCTACGGGCGGAACCTTTTTTTAGAATCTCCCGATTTTAGAAATCTCGAAAATCGATAAATTGCAAAATTACGAGACAAAGTCTTAAAGTTGATTTATTACTTAACAGTATATGTATAAACTTATGCTACGTAGCAATTATATGTACCAATATAAAGGAAGAACAAGAAGAAAAATAAGCATGTATGGAGGAAAATGATAAATTCGTTAGTCCGTTGGAATCATTAAATACATAATACCCAATCTTCAATCGCTAAAATACAGTTATAAAAAGAGCAAAGATTCTTGTCTTGAGGATTATTTTCTCTTTTTGGACCATTCTAAGTGTAAGATCAAAGAGTGGTAACCCTTTCCGTTCAAGTCGTTCAAAGCTTCTTCGGCCTTAGCTTCAGTAGCGAATGTAACGTAAGCAAAACCTCTTGATTCACCGGTTTCTCTATTTCTGACCACAATAGCTCTTTGTAACGGACCGTATCTACCGAGTAATTCGTTTCTCAACATATCTTCGTCAACAATACTGTTCAATTGTGAAACCTTCAAAGTTGTAGAGTCGTCTCTGGCATTCAAATCCTTGGCTGGTAAGTTACCGTTAGCATCCTTTCTCAAGTGTCTTGGAACGTACTTGCCTGGTGCATTATTAGCAGCGTCAGCTGGTTCTGGAGTAGCAGCATTAGAAGCGTCAGTAGAGTCGCTAATAAGTGTGTCTTTAAATGGACACTTGGAGGTGAAATGGTCACCACCACAAGTTCTACATTTGATTCTTTGGGTGGAAACCAATTGTGCCTTTTGTTCTTCTTTCGATTCTTCTTCTTGTTTTTCGATTTCTTTCCATGATGTACCCAATTTCAATTCAACTTTTTCACCTAGTTGCGTGGTTCTTGTGTCTGGTCCTGGTGGTGTGTTTTTCTCTTTACCATACTTTGCCCAGTTTTTACGTTGTGCAATTAATGGATGAACTTTTTCTTTCACCTTAACTTCTTTAATCTTTTGGGTTATTTTAACTTTCTGTCCATTAGCATTTAATCTGTAACTAACAACAGTTTTGGTTCCATCTGGATTAGTGGTGATTTCTGGGGTCGGAATTTCGTCTTCGGCGTCTGCCCATGATTTGATAACAGAAGCTGACATCTTATTCTATAGTGTATGATAACTTTTCAAATTTTACGTTGTCTTCCACCAGATGAATCAAATAATTTTCATTTTTTTCTGGTGGAATTTTTTTGTGGCGAGTGCACGCATCTCTATCAAAAGTTACTATAGGACGTAAATGGGTTATATACTATCTAATACTATCTTAGCTACATCTTCATGTCTATATACTTGTTCATGTTCTCCCCATTCACCTACAACGGATCTGAAAATTAGATTCTTCTGAGTCAAATACTCAATAAATAAATTGGTCTGTCTCATCGAAAGAAGTTCATCTTGATTAGACTGAAGAACTACTAGTTTCAATTCTTTTAAAACATTCTCCAGAAGTATATTGAAGCTGAATGGGCTTCTTACGTCTATTGTTGTGGATGATAATTGGGTGGCTTCTGAGTACTGCTCAGGAGATGAAAATGCATCGTTTATAAAACTTTCGTAAGGGCTCCCATATTCGTCTACTAATTGAACAACATCGTAGATCCCATCAATAAAGCAAAACGTTTTCAATTGCAAGTTTTCCATCGTCTCGTTCAATAAGGTTCGTTCTTTTTCCAGTGGGACATTCAAATCTACTCCTTCTCTTATTGCCGAAGCTTTGTCGTCTTTTAAATCATCTTGGAGTTTCCGGAAACCAGAGTCGAGGACCTTGTTGTAGTCTAGTAATTGCAACATTAACGTAGCACCTACTGAATGACCTGCAATCAGAATTTTACGGATATTGTAATTTTGCACCAAAAATTGTAGGCCCTCTAATACGTCCCATAAATGATAAGGATGCTTAACTTCTGGCGACAATCTATAATTCATGGCGACTAGATTATATTTGGCCGAATACTGGTTCTTTTGTATATGGCCGATCATATCTTCGAAGTCGTTATATGTATTGTTTGGATCTCTCCATGCCCCCCCATGAATAAGTAAAAGAGTCTCCTCGTTCGATTCGTCGAGCTGGTAAAGCTTCAACTGCTTCAATGGATGATCACCGTAGTTTACTATGCCTTCTTTCATCTAGTTATAGCACCTTCTCTCCTACAAAGTGATGGATTCGGTTAGAAATAAATTCTCTACATCTGGTATATACAGGTCTCATAGTATTAACATATAAGAACTATTCTCTATAAATCTCTAGGCAAAATCAAGTAACGTTTCAAAGGTCTAATTCTAATTGACAACAACGACTTAGTTCATTCAAAGAAAATTTGATAATAATACATTTAAAGGAATTGAAAACTTCAAAAATCTTTTTGGCAAATACAACGATCTCTCTCTTAATCCACTTATATAAAATTAGGATGAAAAACAATCCACGTTTTCTTTCCACTAAGTACGGTACCATATACAGTTAAGATAAGATATACAACAAATTAAACAATAATATAATATGGTGACAACCATAATAAAATTCACAACAAAAAACAGTTTCATCCCAACAAGTTTAGCTTTGATTATTAATTTAAAATCCACGATTAGCCCACAATATATGGCTTAAACTTTAATATTCTTGCTCTATTTCAATAGGATTGTTTAAAATCTAAATCTTAATAATCAAGTTTACTTACTTGAGATCTCAATAACGGGTTGGAGATCTGTCACGGACATATGAATCTCTTTCGTAGCTACCTTCTTCTCTACGGAATTCACGGTCAAATCCACCACGGCCACCTCTGAAGTCACCACGGCCACCTCTAAAGTCACCACGGCCACCTCTGAAATCACCACGGCCACCTCTGAAGCCACCTCTGAAGTCACCAC